CTCTCCTTCAGTATGTGAAAATCTTATGGCTCTCCTGACTGAGTTTTGCGGGTTATCGGGACAGGTGATTAACTTACAAAAGTCATTCGTTAAGTTTAGCCTGAACACTCCAGAAGATTATCGAAATTATCTTTCTAGTAGTCTGAAACTTCATTGCAAGTCCTCTCTTGGTTCTTATCTGGGGTTACCGGTCGAGTTCAGTCGCAGAAAGGTGGCTGACTTTGGCTTTCTAATTGACTAAGTGATCAAGCGGCTTTCTGATTTTGCGGTTGTTGGTTTGTCTTCTGCTGCTATATTAGTAATCATTAATTCAATTTTTGTCGCTTCTTTCAATCATATCTTGTCTGTGTTTAAGATTCCTTCTTCGGTTTGTTCTTGCATTGACAACTTGTTGGCTCGTTTTTGGTGGAAATTTGATTCTCAATCTCGAGGTTTAGTGACACATTCGAAGTCTCTTCTTTATTTACCTAAAGGGCTGGGAGGTTTGGGTATACATTGGTTGGAAAGCTTTAACTCTACACTTCTCGCTCGACAGTGCTGGCGCATTCATCAACACCCTCAGCTTTTGGTTTCAAGGTTGCTTACTGCTAAGTATCCTTCCCTTTGTTCTTGTAAGACTCGGACGATTCCTAGGTCTTCTTGTGGTTGTCGTAGCCTTTTAACGGGCATGTCCACTCTTGATCGGGGTATAGCTTGGAAAGTTGGTTCGGGTTCTAAGGTTCGGATACTTGAGGATGATTGGGTCCCAAAGGGGGTTGTTGTTTTTCGTGACGGTTCTGGTGTGTCGGATCCTCCGACACATGTTTCTTCTATTATTAATCTGCGTTCTTATGCGTGGGATCCGACCTCAGTTCATCGGCTTTTTGATACTTCTACGGCGCTTCGCATCCTGTCTTTGGATCGCCCTCTTCAGCCGATGGATGATTTCGTCTACTGGAAGTTTTCTAGGGATGGATCTTTCACTACTAAGTCTGCTTACGCTATGTTGCTAAGTCATTCTACATGGTTTTCTGGGGTCTCGGGTGCAATTCCGGCCTCTTGGTGGAAGCATTTCTGGGGTTTGCCTCTTCTGCCAAAACTCCAGTGTTTTTGTTGGAAATTACTTCATAATGCTCTGCCTCTCTCTGGTAATCTGCAGCTTCGAGGGATTCCGATCGATCCAACTTGTGTGTTCTGTTACCAAGAATGTGAAACATCAGACCACCTATTCCGTGATGGTTCATTCACTTCTTATCTTTGAGCTTGTGCTCCAATTGCCTTCTCTCCCCCTCTTTTGCATGGGAAACCTTTTACTGATTGGTTTTTCGACACAGTCTCTGAGTTTCGTTCCTCTCGGAATTGGGAGGGTTTGGTCTCCTTTGTATCCTTTTGTTGGGCAGTCTGGATTGCGCGTAACCACAAGATTTTTAGATAAGCAGTGTTGTATCCTAGCGCGATTTTCCATTTGGTGCAGGATTGGATCTCTATAGTGTTTTGGCGCAAGGGTTCAAGTCCGTCGTCCGCTCTTTAGGGAATTCTTCTCCCACTACTTCGGTAGCTTCTGATTCATGTTATCTATAGGGTGACTTTTCTTCTGTCTTTAATGATTGCCTTCTTTTTGATGGGCTTGGAGTGCTGATCGGAATCTTAGTGCAAGAGCAGGTTGGATTATTAGGGAATTGTTTTCAGATTCTGTGTTGGAAGGTGGCTCGAGAGCCTGTCACTCCTCTTCGGTCATTCAGTCTGAGTTATAGGCATGTTTGTGGGCACTTCGGGCTATCGGTCGTCGAGACTTTCGTCAACTTCTTATATACTCTGATTGTTCGAATCTTTTTTCTCTTCTGCGGGATGGTGGTGACGGCGATATGTCTTGCTTCTGGTTATTTCATGATATTCGGCTTTCTGTCTTGCAGTTCTCTGTCTGCAAACTTCTCAAGATTCCTCGCCAATGGATTGCCCCTGCTTACTGGTTGGCTGCTCAAGCTCGTCGTCGACAATTGCTTAGTTGGTCCTTTAGTTTTTGTGTGTGTTTTTCTTTATTAGGACTTCTTGTCAAAAAAAAAAAAAACAAAGCTACGAAGGTACTTCGTATTAATTAATATACATATGTGTGTGAATCCTTGGCTTTGGGTATAAGTGTAATGGCAACTTTCGTAGTTTTTTCATAACTTATTTACAACTTAGATCATATTTGACTCCATTGATGATTATTAAATTATACTCCGTATTATATTATAGTAATACAAATTAAGCACTTGTCAATAAATCATGTTGTTTAATACGAGTATAGAATTAAGGTTAAACTCATATATTTAGGTTGGGTATGAGTCAATTCGTATTTAACTAACTGAATGAGCCAATTCAAGTTTAACTCAAACTTCCTCGATCTCCTCCTATCTTAGTCAAACACTACTTTGTTGGAACTCCTTCAAAATTTTCAACATAAAGGGCATATAATTTTCACTTGTGCTTTGTTAGAAATACTTAATGTGTAAGCAAATAAAAATCCCATTTTTCTTGTATACAAGTTTTAGAAAGGTGAATAAAATAATAAGATAAAATTTGATTAACCAAAAGTAAATATAAGAAGAAAAAAAAACTAGAGCTTGATTGATTAAAAATGAATAAAAAAAGAAGATAATATGTTTGATTAATTAAATGGTGAATAGATAAACACACAAAGGCGATTTTTTTTTTTCTAAGGACAATTTTTTTTTTTATGTAATAACACTATCAAAACTTTTAATGTTCAGCCACCAAATAATGTAGTAAAACAAAACTGAGTACTCTATTGTGAATTATAGAGTAAAAATGTTTTGGAGATTCCCTTATGTTGTGTTGTATTTACATGAATTCATAGGAGCTTCTTATTAGTCTGGATTTAATCCAATTAGCTATAATTTTTAGCTTAAAATTTAGATTTGATGATAAGACATTAAAACCTAGTTAACCCTGAGTTTTATTTAGGTTGAACATCGCACCCTTGCTTTTCCCTCACTCTAAAGAACACTAGTCCAATAATTTAGATCAAATTAACTAGTGCGATATTACTTTAATAAAGTATTGTTCAATAATCCGAATCAAATTAATCAGTGTGATATTCCAGCCTGATAAGGTGCCATTTAGAGTTGTCAATTCCTAACCCCCGACTCGATCGGAATCCAAACTCGAAGTTACTGAGAGAGAACCCCAAACCGGACCCGACCCAAACAACTCGAACTCAACCCAATTTTACTCTTTTGTAACGACATTATGTTATTACACTATTTTAGATGATTTTTATAGCACGAACTGAAATATAATTCAAACCCGACCTGTCGACCCAAATGAACAGGTCTAGTGCCATTGTTTTTTACTCCTCACCTACCAAAAAAAGTAAGGTCAAATAACAGGGAAAATATGTTCGAATTAGGTAGAGCAGAATTTTCCAAAGTAGAAATTATTGGCAAGGGTAAAAAACCGTTAAAACGCGTTGGAAAGGAAACAAAGAATACACCACACACCACCAATGAAAATGGTTCTCAAAAATGAAACCGTAAAAAAAAAAAAAAAAAAAAAAAGGCTCAATGTTCAAAAACCCATAAACAAAACAAAACAAATCACACCATCTGTGTGAACAGAGGAACAAAAAAAGTTGAATACTATAATCATTTTTTTATTTAGTTTTTATTAATATTAAAAGAGTTTCATTTTTTGCCCCCTTATTGGTATTTGTCTGAAGCGCCACCCCACCTCTCCTATCACGTGACCCCGTCTCTGAGTAATGTTAAAGAGATGAGATGAGGTTTTATTATAGGTCCCACCCTTTCACACCCCCATGGTTCTGTATAGATTCTTATATGCATTCATGCGTACAATATATAGCATATACGAGTAGGTTTTTATGTGCATTTGAGTGTATATAGAGATTAGAGATAAGTGAACTTCACGATGACGTTTCAACTTAATAGGTTTTTTGCTTCTTACTTGAAAAACTTGAAACGAGAATAAAGTATCAAATAGCACAAAAAAAAAAAAAAAAAAAAAACAAAAGAAAAGCCCCTTAACCCACCCATATACTTCTATACATCTATACTTTGTTTGTCTACAAGTAATCATCCTATTAACTTTGAAAATGTATATTAAGAAATTTAGTATGGTGAAGAAAGAAGTTAAAGATAACGCACCACATGAATTACAAACTTGCGAGAACTTTATCCTATATATATACACACGGGTATATATAGAGATAGGTACACGTAAGGATATTTTTTTTGCTCATTTAATATTTTTTTTTACTTGTTTTAAGATTTTTAAAAAAATGAACAATAAGTGTGTATACAAAAAATAAATGAAAAAAACCCTTAAGTATATCTTACACCCGAATGTATATAAAAATTATCAAAACTTGCAACTACTCCCTCCGTCCCATAATATAGTTTTGTTTGTGTTTTTTCATGATATTTAAGATATAGGAGGAGAAACTGGATGAAATACATTAATAAAAGCGAAAAGTACAATCATAGACAATAAGTGTGTATACAAAAAATAAATGAAAAATACCCTTAAGTATATCTTACACCCGAATGTATATAAAAATTATCAAAACTTGCAACTACTCCCTCCGTCCCATAATATAGTTTTGTTTGTGTGTTTTCATGATATTTAAGATATAGGAGGAGAAACTGGATGAAATACATTAATAAAAGCGAAAAAAACAATCATAGACAAAAGTTAGAGAGAAAAAGTGAAAAAAAGTACATGGCATGTGCAAAATTCAAAGGTAAATTAGGGTGTACAATGAATAAAGTTAAAAAAGTGAGGGTATAATAGTCTTTACATACAATCCAAAAATAAAAATAGGAACAATATTTTGGATCTCGAAAATAAAAAAACAGAAACTATATTATTAGACAGAGGGAGTAATAATTTGTTTATTCATTCCAAATAAGATGAACATTTTTTGTGAACATTGTAATAAAAAATACAGAAAGATTATTCGTAAACGTGTACAGAGAGTATAACCCAATTCAACTCAACCCAACCCAACACTACTCAAACACAAATCCAACCTAACCTAACCCAACCCCATCTTTCTCTCTCTACATTTTTCCCTCTCTAAAATAAAACAATTTTTAAAAAAATAATCTGTCCTCTTTATATACCTCTCTCACTGTCTTCTGAGTGTGAATCCCTGTGTTCTTTTTTATTTATATAGTGAGTGTTTCCAGTAGAGAGAGAAAACATCCAGTAGTAGTTTTAGCAGTAGCACCATCTCTTTACCCTCTGCTATTTCAGAACTCTTTTTCTCATTTCCTTCCATTTCTAAATTATTTTTCTAAATTTTATTTTTATTTTGTGCTCTTACAAATTAAAAACACACACAAAAAAGAAAAAAGAAAAAAAAAAGATTTTCCTTGGTTTGTTGGTGGGGGTTGATATGCAGCAGCACCTGATGCAGATGCAGCCCATGATGGCAGCTTATTTCTCTTCTAACAACGTCACTACTGATCACATTCAACAGGTTTTTTTTCCCTTTATTTTTCTCTCTCCTCATTTTTTTTTCTTTCTTTTTTCTACTTGTATTTGTGTTGCTGGGTTTTATTTTTTCGGATTAACCCTTCTCCCATTTTTAAAATTTCTTCCTGTTTGGACGGTGATTATCGCCCTAATAAGTTAGGGATAGAAGAACTTTTAGAGATTGGAGCTGAAATTGCACTTACTTGAATTGGGCATGTATCTTTATGTTTTGTGCTTAATAATCATTCTTTGAGTGCCCCTTAAGTTTAACTTCTCTTTCCTCATAATTTTTTGTAAAAAAAAAATAAAAACTTCTCTGTATTGTATGTACTGAGAAATTTTTCAATTTATGCTTAATTTGTGTGAGAATATGTCAGATATTACTTTTTTTTTTGTTTTTTGTTTCTGCTGATAAAAATTGAGGGGTCCATATTATGTACTCTACCAGTGACAAGATCAAAATGATATGCAATGTTAAGAGCATCTTTAAGGGTGAATGGCTTAATGAGTAAACAAAAATGATATGCAATGTTAAGATCAAAAATAGTTCACAATGAGTGAACAAATAAGGTGGTGGCTTAATGGCAAACTCTTTAATTGTTCATGTTGAGTGGTCATGGGTTCGATTGCAGGAGCAAGCAATTGCATGAATTAATTCGCTGTGTGCCCCACCAATATTTTGGACTGATATTCATGCAAAACAACGTCGTTTTGCTGTTTCATGTTGCAAAACGACGTCGTTTTGCTGGTCAGAAAAAAAATAGAAATCAGCGGCTGGGAGCGCGCCACTTGGCCCAGCCGCTGCTTGACACGTGTGTACTGTTTTAAATATATCCGTTGTAATTTTACAACGGATATATTTTACAAAATACAAATCAAAAAAAAAAAAAAATTACCTACGACTCTATTTTTTTCCCCTCTATAAATAGACACCCATATTGATATACTTTTTTCAACTTTGAAAATTCATTTTTTTCTACTATATTTTTCTCTTGAAAAATCCCCTCTATAATTACCAATATTATTATTATTTATACCAATATTAATATTATTATTGTTATTATTATTATTAATTATTATCATTAATATTATTATTATCGTTACTATTATTTTTATTATTATCGTTATTATTATTATTATTATTATTATTTTTATTATTATCGTTATTATTATTATTATTATTATTATTATTATCGTTATTATTATATTATTATTATTATCGTTATTATTATTTTTATTATTATTGTTATTATTATTATTATTATTATTATTATTATTAAATTTTTATTTTTTCCAAATATAAATTATAATTATGGATGCTAATACCAACCCCAAAACAAATAGAAAGAAGAAAAAAAATTTGGGTCAAAATATGATCCCGAATCAAGCCAATTTTCCTCCAATTCACCCAAATTTTTCACAAACACCCACAAATATTCCCCATAATTTTTCTGGAGTTTATCCTCAAATACCCTAGTCAAGTTTCCCAAATAATCCACCAAATTTCCCTCAAAATTTTAATTTTTCTCAAAGCAGTTCAAATTTCCCACATCCATCCATGATACCAATGGGTTACGGTGAATATGGTGCTGCATCTGGTTATTTTCCGTCACAACAACCGAATCCCAATATTTGGGAATCGAGCAATGTCTTATCTGAAGAAGATGAGGCAAATGAAGAATGCGAGGATGATGGTGAGGGAAATGAAACTCCTTCTCCCCATCAAAACTTCACTTAAATGTTACAGCAACCACTCCAATCAACTCCGGAATTTCGTGTTAGTGGTTCAAACAATAGAGGTTGGTCGCGATCAGAAACTGCGGCTTTTATATCCGGCTACATGAACACCAGCACCGACATAATTACCGGCACAAATCAAAAGAAGGGTGTATTTTGGAAGAGAGTCTTGGACGCATACGATGCTGCCAGGGAATCGAATGCATAATTACCGGCACAAATCAAAAGAAGGGTGTATTTTGGAAGAGAGTCTTGGACGCATACGATGCTGCCAGGGAATCGAATGCAGATGAAATATCCCTACGAACTATTAGTAGTTTGAAGGGAAGGTGGATGCGAATCTCTGAAGCCGTGTTAAAGTGGTGCGGAAGCTATGATAAGGCCCGGAAGCGAAAGGGAAGTGGCTATAACGAAGATGATGTTATCCAAGAGGCCCACAAAATCCATGAGAACTCATTCGGACGATTCACCTTCTACGAGGATTGGATCCAATTAAGGAAGTGGGACAAATTCCGGTCTTTCTTGGACCAACAAACATTCAAGCCTTCGGTGGGACGTCCACATTCAACTCCACTGACGGATGAGTCTGTAGGGAGCGGAAGTAGTGGGAAGAGGACACGGGATGAGGGTGACAATTCCTCACCTACCACACCAACCAGCGTGGGTGTCGGTGATGAGAGAGTAGCTCGTGCTGAAGGTATTAAAAAGGCTAAGTCGAGATTGAAGGGTAAAGCTCCATCAAGTCAAGCTTTTAAGGAATTAGAAACATTCAACAGCCGATTGCAGCTACTTGGGGATTCGATGAATGTGTCAAACGAAGCAGAAATGAAGAGACTTGAAATACAGGAGCGCAAGGAGGCAAGGAAACAACGGAAAATTGAGCTAGAGCAATATAGGATCAACTGGGAGCAACTATCTCGTCTAGAACAGAAAGTAAACCGAGAACAGTGGGAAGACGAAATGATAGTAATACTTCGGAACAATATTCAACGTTTCAATAATGATGCTTAGTGTCCTTTATTTTTATTGTAGTTAAGTGTGTTCAATTCCTTTGTTGTTCTTCATTTTCAGTAGTGATAAGTTTTCAATTCCAGTTCAACCTCTTGTACTCATTTCCTTATGTTTGTACTTTATCAATTAATCAGTAAAATGGATCTTTTCCACTTTCCCATTTTCATAGCCCATGTGATCTTATTCTGTTTATTCAATTATATCAATTTGTCTCTTTATATATAATTGTGTCAGTATCTTAATTTCCCCTTTGTTAGCCCATGTGAAACCCTTCTTCTCCATTCAATTTCTGTGTGGTTCTAATCCAGTGTTGGTCATAGCCCATGTGAAACCCTTCTTCTCCATTCAATTTCTGTGTGGTTGTAATTCATTGTTTGTCATAGCCCATGTGATCTTTGTCTCTTTATATTCAGTTATTTCTGAAGAAGAATTACAAATTAGTTCACTATAAATAAACACCATTCTTTCATTTTTTTTACACACAAACACATAAATCGTTTGCAGTTACTATTAGCAAACCTCACTCTATCTTACATTTCTTATGTACAAAATGAATTCAAACAGTTTAAACGAAAGCTCAACCGATTCCTCTTCATCTTCATCTAACTCGGATGATGAGGGAAGGGAGCTTAGAGTTCAACAACGTAATGAAGTGTGTCTTATGATACAACACGTAATGCATGAGTACATTCCACCAATTATTCAAGCTGCCACTCAGCAACGCCGACGCAAATCTACTGAGCCCCGAAAGGATAGGGGACGCGAAGAAGGTCATGCACGGTTATACAATGACTATATCGCGGAAGTCCCAGTTTATCCAAGTTCCTTGTTCCAGCGCCGGTTTCGAATGCGTAAACATGTGTTTGAGCGCCTTCTCAACGCAGTGACCTAACATGACCCTTGGTTTCAACAAAGGCGAGATGCGGCAGGTCGTCTTGGTTTGTCTCCACTTCAAAAGTGCACTGCGGCCGTTAGACAACTAGCTTACGGGTGTGCTTCAGACGCTTGTGATGAGTATGTCCGTATAAGTGAGGCAACTTCACGATTGGCACTCCAAAAGTTTACAGAAGGTGTCATCAACCTGTTCGGTGATCAGTACCTACGCCGTCCAAACATCGCAGATATGGAAAGATTGCTACGTATTGGGGAAGAACGTGGATTTCCTGGCATGATAGGCAGCATTGATTGTATGCACTGGGAGTGGAAGAACTGTCCACACGCATGGAAGGGGCAGTATCAAGGAAGAGAAGGAGTTGCAACTCTCGTACTGGAGGCAGTTGCGGACAGAGATCTATGGATATGTCATTCGTTCTTTGGGATGCCAGGTAGCTGCAACGATATTAATGTGCTTCATCGATCCCCTGTGTTCGAAGACATCTTAGAGGGTCGAACACCTCCTGTGAACTTCGTAGTCAATGGTCATCATTATACGAATGGGTATTATCTTACTGATGGAATCTACCCTAGATGGGCTTCTTTTGTGAAATCCTTTACGAGTCCACAAACTCGTCAGGATCGTTTATTCGCAAAACACCAGGAAGCTGCAAGGAAAGACGTTGAACGCGCATTTGGGGTCCTTCAAGCTCGTTTTGCCATTATTAAAAAGCCGTCTTTGGCGTGGGATACCGACATACTCCACAATATCATGCTCGCCTGCATCATAATACATAATATGATCGTTGAAGATGAACGAGAGACGTATCAAAATAACGTTAATACCAATGAGTTTATGAATGCTGGAGGCAACGCTAATGAGGACACTGCCGAGTACCGTACTGATCGTATTGTGGATATCGGCTTATACTTGTCTCGTAGAACATAGAATGAGGATCAACAGACTCATTTGCAGCTAAAAAACGACTTGGTCGAACATATATGGAATAAATTTGGTAACAACGAAAACTTAGGCAACTAGGTTTACAACAAATGGTTATCCCTAAGGACATCTTACAAAACGATGTGTAGTTTTTTTTTTTTTTTAAATAAAATGTACTAGATTATAGTTGTAGAACTGTAATCACGATTTGTACCTCTTTTTTTTTTTGTTAATTAAAATTAGCTGCGTTGTTGTTTAAAAAATATTAATCACAAGAATTAGTTTTTTAAAAAGCTGATAAAAAAAATGCGATAATTTCTTAATTAGTAATCACGATTAAAATATTAAACACGTCAATTAATTACATTGACATCGGGTTAATAAATTATAATTATGAAACAAAAAAGATTATATTTACAAAAATAAAATAAGGTGGGGTAGGGAGTATTGATGATGAACCATTGTTTAGTGTTCATTGTTAAGAGTGAATATTGTAAATGGTTTGTTGGGTTGATGTGGATGAGAGAGAAATGGTGATAGTGACCCATGAACCATTTTTTTGTGTTCACCAATAATGATGCTCTAATTGTTTTGTTATTTTTTTTTTCTTTGATTGAATCGGCAATTTTTTTTATACAACCGGGTGTGTATGTGGGTGTGATTTTTTATTTATTTTTTAACTTTATTTTGTGTTCATAGTAAGCAATCTATTGACTTGGATCTTAATTTTCTGCTTTTTATAAATTATTCTATGTGGGTTTGTATCTTGGTATATCATCATGTATACATATGAAGTTATAATGTTTAGTTATATATGAACTTTTCTATGATAGATTAAGTTCCAGACATTTTTTTCTCTTTAGTGACATATTTTCCATTTCATTTGGTTTTTCAAAAAGACAAGATTTGTGAAGGTAAAGAATCTAGTTTTGCATGCGCCTTTTGATGTGTATGTATACATGTCTTCTTTACATGCTTAAACAGTGCTTGTACTAATAATATAGAGCTTATTTTATCATATTGTTTTAGTCCTAATTCTATGCTAATCATATAAACCAAACTGGTACAATCTTATGTATGAGTTTACCTCATCATCTTCGATTACTTATAATTATGACATTGAATTTTGGATACAAGATGAGACATAAATCGGGACATACGATGTTAATTAACGCTCTATGTTTTCTACCTATGGCCTATTGCAAGGCAGTAATTAGCAAGGAAAAAAAAATACATTGGTTTTGGCTATTAATGGACTTAATTATGTCTAATCATATTGATTGGTTATTAATCAATACCTTATGGATTACTTTTTTTACCACTTATATATTGTGTTTATTTTTTAATTGGTTTGACCAATTAGGTTGTTCAAATGACACCTTGACTTTCCTTAACTATAACATGTTCACACCCTTATTCCATTGGGTCACTCCTAATTATACAACCTCTATTGGATGGGTGAATTGAAGCTAAGAGGTAAAATTACCTTAATATCCTTAAATATGGGAAAAGCTTCATTTAGGGCCCACAAATTAGGCATCATTTGTCATTTCATATCTGAAAGGAGATAGTGAGATCCAACTCAGCGACACTAAAAATACGAGTATTTTTTATATTGAAAACATCTTATTAACATTAACGCGAGTAGATTACTCATTGGGTAGATCCGTAGATATATACGACTAATATGAGTACTCATAAAGGCTACATGTAACATGTAACATGTAAAGTATTAATCTTTTGGTATAACTCATTTGTTGATTAAATTGTGTAGGGTTAAGAAAAGTATAGCATAATAGTGAGAGTCTAACACCAGAAGAGACTTTGTCAATAGTTGCATACTGGCTGAGCATGTGTTCTATTTTGATGCAAGTAGACTCTAGTGACTAGGTCTAGTAAAGTAGTAATAGTACAAGCTGTATCTCATGAAATAAAAGATAATAAAAATAAAAATGAGTAAATGCAATTTGTTATTGCAACTCACTTTCATTTAAAATCTGATGTTGAAGTAACAGGTTCAGGTACATGCCACGTGTATGTTTGGGGAGGGTGGAATTTAGTGTGTGCAGGACTATGGGAGTTTTTAAGCACCAAGACAACCTAAGGTCTTAGACTCTAGGAAGTACTTTGGTTGTATAAATTATAAATGATGGTTAACTAACTTGTAGGGGTTATTATATAGAATATGGACCAGTGGTTCATGGGAAAATAAGAAAAGATTGGACTTTTCATAAAGTTTACTTTAATAAGCATATATGGAAATTTATTCATTTTTTGTTGTGTTAGATAAATGGTAAAATTTTGTTGGCTTTTGATTATAAACAGTTTTATGTTGTACAAGTTTTCATGGAATTGATTGTTTTGAGTCAGAAAACTCAGTAGTTGTATGGTACAAAAGAAAAGGGGTTTATGCTTTTGACCAACAGAAAATAGTGAATAGGAATAACTATGGTGTAATTACTTGAACTAGATTGTCTGTTTTAAACTCTTTTGTCTTGGTTGGTGGTATGTGTTTCACATGCCCTACTCTAATTTTTAGTACAAATGTTAAATGTACATTACTTGATGATTTAAGTTATTACTGCCTTCACTAAAGTCCATTATGACCTCGGTTTTAGTCATTGAAGCATGCTAAATGAGCACTTCAGTCGAGTGATACGTTGTTATGTCTATCCTAGTGGTAATTGGCCTAACAGATGATTAAGTTTACGTGCTCGCATCGGTAAGCATCGAAAAGTCGATATCCATCATACATACTGTCATGCAGCTTGATTATTGCTGGCATGCTGTTCAACTTACCTTAAGAGCATGGTTCAACCCCTGGCCTAAGAACTGCCTTTTGGTCCAAACTTACCTTTTCCGGCAGTTGGAAATTGAACCTTTTCTGAACTTGGACCACAACAAGTAATTCAAGAATTAACATGAAAAATAAAAATATAAATATAAATGGAAGTATACATTGTCAGTAATCATTGAAGTGTAGCAAACTTAAAATTTACTGTAATGAAGCTAGGTGTGGGCTCCTGTAATGGTCTTCACATATTAATCAGTTCTGTAAGACCTTTTTGTTTTGCTGGTATTAGAACTTTAGTTTAAATCTTTATTGAAAAGGAGGCAATGTCAGTACTTCTTACTCAACTAATGTTATGACTATTTGGCTAATAATGAAAAATAGTGTAAATGTACTTTTTAACTGGTGGTTTTTAGTGATGATGGTTTTTAACTTGTTTGTAAACCTAGTATCAAATTTTCTTATCTGCTAAGCTACTTTTGAAGGCCTAAATCTGGAGGAAAAAACCCAGAATTATTATTGTTATTTTCAATTTTTTTGTATGTCTCCAAGGATGAACAATTGTCATCTCCGATTCATTAAAAAGGAGAATCCGTATGTTCCCTTGTAAATGGTTGAAAAAAAGGAAGTCATTGTGAAACACATGATCATCGATAAACAATTAATACAGATAAAAATGAACAAGGGATTGATGTTTGCATAGATTAGCTGCCTTCTCTGCTAATTGATATGAGTTTGTTACTATAAGTGTGGAACGGTGTTGTATGCATTGCCTTTTATCTTAGTCTAGGGCTAGCGGGTTAGATTCTAATACACTGCTAATTCTTGTGATTAATGTGCTCAAGTCAAAATTGATATGTAACACACTTTGGTTATGCATGATATTTTCATTCTTTGTTACATTAATGCACTTGTGATTCTAGTCTTTTAGCCGCTTCATCTATATTTACTGCTTGGTTTGCTCTCACCTGGATATATTCTCTCTTATTGATTTATAAATTTTGGTTGGTTTCAATCTTGGCAGTACTTGGATGAGAACAAGTCTTTGATTCTGAAGATTGTGGAAAGCCAGAATTCGGGGAAGATTAATGAGTGTGCTGAGTAAGCTTAATTTGCAAACTTTGGCTATTACATGATTCATAATTGTGTTTTGCTTGGTAATTTGGCTGTCTAAATTATTCAGGAAAAATTAGATATTAAAGCTGGAAGTAACTTTATCATGATAAGCATTAGTATTTGCCACCATGACATATTCATCATTCAGTTGTTTCGACTATTGCAGGAACCAAGCAAGGCTGCAGCGAAACCTCATGTATCTTGCTGCTATAGCTGATGCCCAGCCCCAACCTGCTACTATGCATTCCCAGGTATATATGATAAGGATTTCTGTTCATTAGAGCTCATCCTAAATATATGTTGGAAGTTCGAAAATTCCTTTACATTTGACATTATTATTAATGCACATCCATCATCATTCTTAGAAAGCAATAGTGACTGCAGAAATGTTCCTTGCACGTCCAATAAAATTTAGCACACATCACTTGGAAGAAAGTATTATTTAACTTATCATGATTAGCAAATACTACTATCTATGGTTTTTGAAATGTAATTTTCTTGAAAAAGCAGCAGTATGCTCAAAGCCAGATGATGCAGTCAGGGGCGCATTACATGCAGCAACAACAGCAGCAGCAAGCTCAATCAATGTCGCCACAGGCTTTGATGGCAGCACGCTCTTCAATGCTTTATAGCCAGCAAGCATACCCAACCCTTCAGCAGAGTCAAGCCCTGCATGCCGGCCAAATGGGAATGAGCTCTGCTGGTAGCTCACTCAACATGCTGCAAGGTGAACCTCACAGTGCGGCCAGCAGTGGTATGCTTGGGTATGCTGATTTTGGGCGTATCAAGCAGGACATTGGCAGCTCTGAAGGGCGCGGTGGGACTTCAAGTGATGGCGGTGAGGCACTCTACTTGAAGTCTGGTGAAGATGGAAACTAAGATTGTAGTAGCATGAGCAAGCTAGACGGAGTTGCTAAGTCGGTCTTTAGGAGTTTAGTATTAGTCAAGGAAGTAGTACTTACTAGTTACCAGGAAACATGGAATGGTTAAAAAAAAGATCACCACTTAAAGGGCTAAATTTTCTCTGATGGAAAACATTGTTGAGTTGCTACTCACAAAACCTCCATCTTCTTGGTTCTTTTAAAGTGGTGAGACTCGGAATCTTTTTAAGCGGTTTAATTATCATGTAAATTTGTAGGATAATATTCCTAAATTTTATGTGCCTTTTTTATTAGCTTCATTGTCTTGCGACTTCTCCAACAAATCTTCATACTGTAAGTAGATCTCAATCATGCTACATATCCAAGTACATTGCATTCGATATGAGATAAAAATACAGTAAACAGTATTCCACGAAAAAGAATGACCATAGTATCTGCATAATGCTGCTGTTCTTCATGTTGTCTGTTTTGGCTAATGATCTGGGAATTTACTGGTTGATCTTCAATCAATTGATGCATCATTTTTCTTAATAATCCTTCACATTAAGAAAACAAGTTTAGAGGCGAACGTAATGCGGGCACCATACTTAAGGATTTACAAATCAAAGAGAATGACACTGAAGTTGAAGGGATCAACAAAGATTTAAAGGGATAAAAATCTGTTATAAATTAATCCATCAATAATTATGTGACATCTACTTTTATCTAGATTAAACAAAAGTAGTTTAAAGCTTTATGCACTTTGTCTTAAAATTATTATTCCTTTAAGTACGTATAATAAAAGTAATTAACAGAAATATGTGCCTTTTTTTGAAAGAAAGGACGTAACAATAATAATTTTAAACATATATGTTCGAAAGATTATTGGTATGCAATTAATCAATAATTATTCTAATTGGAAGTCAAAATTACAAATCTTATATTTGCCACTAATGTTAGCAATTGACTTATGAAGGTTACACCTCATCCACATAATCCATGAGATTGCTGACATAATGTGTTTATGAAACATAAAGGAGGATTTGGGGATAATCAATAATGGTACGGAATTGAATCATGAATACAATTCTGCTCATATTGGTCTCTAATCAGTTCTTATTGCGACATGTCCAAGTGAAGCGTCAAATGAGAAGAATGAGAAAGATTTTATTTGCATCATTACATTGTTTATACTTGCAATAATAGCTTATACAAATGTTATAAAACGAGTCAATTAATATTGTACATTATTTTTATTTCCCTAATTTTTAAAATATTTCCTATAATATATATGGAGTTAAATTTAAACGAAGAATCAAATTTATTATAAACAAACACCCTAATAAATTGTTGAAAACACTCTAAGGAAAAATGTCTCATTTTGATGAAAATTATTATACACACCCGGGTTTACATTACAGTCAAGGTCATTTCTTTTGCTCATTTGATGATTAAATGAGCAATAAGTATCCAAATGAGTAGAAATACTCTTGAATGTGCCTTGCACTTAGGTGTGTGTATATATTAACACAATTTAAGTGCCATTATCTACATTTCTTCAGTTTCGGAACAAAAATTGGCGAAAATCTAGGTATACTTAGAAACTTTAAAGTTAATACTCTTTCGTTTATTGTTGTTGCAATTTCTTACTTATTTTTGTATTTTTTTGTTTGAATTTGTTGAAGTTGAAGTAGAAGAAGTTGAATCAAAGTATTTCGAAGTTCAAATTGCTCAATATTCAGGTATTTGTTTGAATTTTTTTTTGTTTTTGTAATGATTTCGTTTGATTTACTTTTGATTTGTATTTTTTATTACTTTTTTGTTTTTGAAAGTGTTTTATAGGTTATTATAGTGATTTCTGGATGAATTTGTTGTAATTTCGTTTGATTTACTTTAAGTTAGGCTAGATTTTTTTTATCAAACTCTTGTTTAAGTAAGTATTTGTGTGTTTGAGTGTCTTTGTGTAAGGTTTTGATCTGCATGCAATTATAATTAAGTATTTGTTTGTGTATTTGGCAGTTACTTTAGTGATTTCTGTATGAATTTGTTGTAATTTCGTTTGTTTTACTTTAAATTAAGTTAGAAATTTAATGGAAATGTTGTTTAAGTATGTATTTGTGTGTTTGAGTGTCTTTGTATAAGTTTTTGATCTGCATGCAATTATAATCATGTATTTGTTTGTGTATTTAGGTATAAATTTGGTGTAAAACAAATAAGTCTTCTGGAAAATTGATCTTCATAATGTTATATTTAAAGTAATGTTTCAGTTTTAAAAGTAAATACATAATACTTTAATGTTAATGAATTATTTATATAATAATTTGATATGACTAATGTTTATTTTGTTTTGAATTGCATGTATATTAAAATGAAGAAAACTTTAAAGAAAACTCTAGTAGCTACGAAGAAATCTCCAAAGGTTGCAGCTATGAAGAAATCTGCAAAGAAACTTGTTACAGCTACAAAGAAATCTCCAAAGAAACCTATTGCAGCTAAGAAATCTCCAAAGAAACCTATTGCAGGTATGTTATGGTGGATATTCAGTTCAAGTTTTGTCTTACAACATTCCTTCTAAAAAGTAAAAAAGATAGTATTATATGTAAATAAGAATATTTGTAAATTAAATACAACATGGATAGTTGTGTAAATATATATACATTGTTCTAGATTTATTAATCTTATTTTTTCACTTTAACAATAGGTGATAAGGATGAAAAGTTGTCAAAAAAACAAATATTGATAATGAATAGGCTAAAGCAATTTGAACCTCTAGAAGGTTAAATAAAATTAATTATTGTTATATATCATCATTTATATTAAAAATAATTGATGTACTTTAACTGCTTTGTTCTTTACTTTTATAAATGAATTACTTAATGATGTGTATGGGTGTTTGTGATGGTCTATTCTTAAGAAACTTACACCTTAAAAAGGTTAACAAGGGTGAAATATTTTCTTATATTGAAAATTGGTGTATAGGGGTGTTTATTGTGATGATGTTGTTTTAGATTAATATATGATATGATGTGTCATGTACTATAATTTGATTATGCTATTTGATATGATGGTTGCTATGTTCTATTTAACATATATTTAGAAATTAATTGATTTGTCTTTATAAATAATTAAAAATCTACACAATGTAAATAAAAAAATTTGATATAATTATTTGTTTATCAAGATACAGGATCCAAAAAAAGAAAAACAGAAAATGAAAAAGATGAAGATGATTATGAACCAGAAGATGATGAAAAGACTGAATCAGAAGATAATGAAAAGACTAAATCAGAAGATGATAAAAGACTGAATCAGAAGATAATGAAAAGACTGAATCAGAAGATGATAAAAGACTGAATCAGAAGATGAAGAAGACACTGAATTAGAAGATGAAGAAGAGACTGAATCAAACGAAGAAAAAAAAAGATACAAAACCACGTCTAGAGAAGAAAATGAAAAAGGAGAAAACAAAAAAAGAAGTGCAAGGTAGAAAAAAGAAAAAGCAGAAGGCAGATAAAGAAGTGGAGGAAGTTATGGTTGTTGACGATGATGAAAATGATGTAGATGATGGTGGTCTTATCATAAAAAAAAAAAAACACACTGCAGACCCAATGATGTTTTTGATTTGATAAAAGACTTTAGTGAAGATCAGAAGAAGGATGTCATAAGCATAGGCTTTGGAGGTCCGCTTGAGTTAAAACTGACTCAAATTCAGACAAAAATACTTCCCTGGCTTTTCCATCACTTCATTGAAAAAAGCTTTATGTTCAAAATTGATATGTTAAAGGAGTTCTCTATAACAAGCTTTGACATTCATGACATCTTCCTGCTTCCCCATGTCATGCAAAACCAAATAACATATCAGTTAAAAAAGCATACTCCAGAAGATTTGAGGATTAAATTGAGTGGAATTGGGAATTTCTAAGGAAGATGATATCATTGTACACAGTTTGGGAAATAAAATTCAGAGCTTGAAAAAGGGAAGTGATGATTTCAAGAGGTTCTTTGTTATGTATGTTTTGCAGCACCTTTGCACCTGCTTCAAATAGGGCTATTGATTGTAAAATATTGACGTATGCTGATGATGTGAATGGAATTAAGAATGTGGATTGGTGTACTTTTGTTCATAATAACCTTTGCAAAGCAGTTGAAAGGTTGAAAAAGAACAATGAAAAAGAATCAAGGTCAGGAATTAGTGGTTGTGTAGTTGTGCTTCAGATTGCCTACTTTAACCTCCTTGTGTTTGAGGCATCCGTGAGGCATGAACTACCGGTACAACCATTGATACAACATTGGACAGATGAAAAAATGAGAAAGAGAATAGCAAGTGAAGCAAAGGCCTCAGTTGGTCAAGGAGAACTTCTGAAGGATGCTTATCCAATCTGTATAAGGGATCCACCACAAACAGAAATTTTGGGGTGACGTTATTGAGACTGCTTACCAGCATTTCACCGAAAAAGAGAGAAGATGTATTAATTTAAACATTCCATCACATCTGATAACAAATATTGAGATATATGAAGCTGCCCGTGATGTAAGTATTATTTGTTCTATGTCTTTATATTTCTACTAGTATTAAACTTTATTTTTTCTGCTAATAAATTATGTTTTTGGTGCTATGTCTTTATATTTGTTCCTTAATTAAACATACACACTGTAAACATTAACTTTAAAGTTGAGAACAAGAGTAGAGTGTAGTATACAGAATGATAGTTTTTAAAGTTAATAATTTACCTTTAAAAGTAAATAATAATATTTTCATAATTTGTAGGAAATTAAAAAGGATTTGTTACTGTTGCAAAGATATTCAGCTTTGTTTTAACGTTGCATGCTCATAGGGTAAACTCTATGACAGATAGACTTCAAAAAGCTAAAACAAATCCATCAATGTCAAAAGGATCTCCAATAGTTTCTCAAACACAAAAGCTTTTAGAAGACCCTAGAGTCCAAAGAGCTCTGGATAAGGTTGTAAAGATCTATGATGATTTGAAGGATGTCTCAAATGTGTTCGATTCTACTTGGGAAGAGCAAAACAGGAAGGAAAATCTTGAAAAGAATGGTGATGATGTTGATGATCATGTTGTTGATCCATAAACTATTCATATCAATGAAGATACTCTTGAAGCTGCCACAAATAAAGCACATATCAATGAAGGGCAGACAGTTGGTGTAAAAGCAGAAAAGGAAAGGGATGTTACTAAGGAAGTAGCCATATTCCTTAGTAACATTTAGGAGGAGTTAGCTGCCGAAGGGGCTGATAATGTTGTGCAGCAGCCAACTGTGCCTAAGGAAGCAAACATAGTGCTTACAAACATTCAGGAGGAGTTAGGTTCAACGATAAGG